TATATATATATATAGGTACACACACAACATACGTATGAAACAAAGTCGCATTGTTGGTGATTGCATAAGGCTTAACGATATTTTGTTGATGTTTGGTACTTTAAGTATGGAATTTTTACTTTTTAATAGATATGCTATGGTTTTTATTAAATGGCCAGGTTTTTAAAATTGTGTTCATCAAGTAAAGTCATCATCAAATCAGATGAATTTACTGTTTGGTGAGAGTGGTAGGTGACTGCAAAATATTCTGATGACTGAAATCTTTATTTAATGTTATCTGTTACGTTTATCCTATTCAAACAATGTACATAAATAAATTGGCTACCTGGATGCTTGATTATTTATAATTGCAATATGTTTGACTAAAAACTATTACAATTATTGGTGATAGTAAAACATGTTTTCTTTATTTAATTATCAATTTATTTGACTTACAGAAGATCAATGTGGAGTTACTGCATATTCTAAAATAAAACAATGATGACCTCATGGTGGTATTTAGTTGACAGAGATTAATTTGCAAAGTAGATGTATTATATAAAACCAAGGGTAATCTGAAAATTACTTAAACCAAAATAAAATAATGTTAATACTATGTGAGAATAATACAGTGATTGAAAAAGTTATGAAGCTAGCATACACACACTTTTTTTGCTTGCTTGCTTGTAGGGGGGTGTGCACCAATAAACTGTTGGCTTGAAAACCACTTATCAAAAATATATAAAACAACACTATATTATCACATGTTTATTATAGTGTTCAAAATATCAACTGGCTGCAGTTTGTGTATAGTTTATTTAAAGTTAAATGATTTTCTCTACTTAATACCACATACACATGCTCTAGATCTCAGTCATGCTGAATGATGGCCACATTTCAAAAAAACCAATAACTCATTGTCAACTGCCTTTGTGAGCCACTACCTTCTCAAAAGAAGATCAAAAGTTAACTACAATACACACTGATGTAATGAGCAAATACACGAGCAATGAATGGTAAGCAGAAAACTAACTTCAGACATTTTAATAGCTTGAAGTACAATAGCTCTTACAGTATTAAAAGCAAATTGTGATTTACTTTATTTTTTTTATTCACTGCAAACTAATTTTAAAAAACATTGTTAACAAGTGGAGTTAATAACGATTTTAGAAGTAGGCAATTTGAAAATACAGATATAAGTTTTCATTACATATCAAGGTAGTTTAAGAGGAAGACGTCTGGCTAACAGCACTATCAAGTCTATTAAGTATCTTTATAAAAATCATAATACAGTCATCCATTCATTGAAAGCCATTTTGTTTTAAAAGCAATACATGGAAAATGGAAAAAAAAGAAATTTTTCGTCCAAAAGTATTTAATGAAGTAATAAAATTTGAAGTCTCACTACATTCTTACAAAAAAATCATTAAAAGGTTCCATTCAGTACCAATATAGAAGATAGAAACATTACAGTTTTATTTCCTAAGTCAGGATTATATTTTTTTAATTTTCACATTCAAATTCTACTTACATATAATTCCAAAATTTACAACTGATTACAATAAACTTCATATAACATATAATACCACACTTTAAACTTGCTGTTTCTTAAGTGATATACCACACTTCTGTTGAGAAACACTTGCTTTAAACTTGCTGTTGTGACCATGTTCCTTAAGTGATATACTACTCTTCTGTTGAGGATATACCTGCTTTAAACTTGCTGTTGTGACAGTGTTCCTTAAGTGGCTGCTTAACACAAGTTTACTATACAAGTGCATGTTTAATTTTACTATATAAATAATACTTAATCAAAACAATTACAAATGATAAGTTTTTTTTTGAAGAAAATTAAAATTTACCTTGCAAGACAAATACAATGAGCACAAGTGACAGTAGCTACTCTCTGAGGTTCATGAGCCTCAGTCACAGGCCTAACTTTCACACAAGGTCCAAAACCTAGCTTAAAATAGTTATACACCTCATGATTTTGTAAAATGCCCTACTATTTTTATGAGGTATATGCAAATATTTAAAAGTTTAACTGGGAGCCTTAAGACCTCCATGTTTGTTTGCCATTCCATACTGGACAAACTGTAAGGGTTCAATAGTATTACCACTTTATATGATAATCATAACAAAATTATTCACATACTTATTAAGTAATTTTCAAAATACTGTTCAGAGTTTGCAAACTGCAAATATTTCTAATTCCTGGTCAATTTTGTACATGATCTTACAAACATTGCTGCACCAACATTTTCCCTCTATTTTCCTACAGCTGAAGTTAACATTTTCCTAATATGAAAATGTATTTCTAATAGATACTCACCTCCTTACACAGAGTAGTTATACCTTTCATGAACCTGCCTATGATATTTGAGTTAACTCCTACGTAAAGTTCACTTGTTTAACATTACTGTGCTGATGCATGATGATGTCATCATGCAACAGTACTCCTCCACCAAAAGATGGGTGACACAACCTACATTTGCAGTAACTCACCTTAAGCACTTGCACTTGAAATAACTTCATTCTTATACCAGACAAGAAGAAAGTGCACCAGAAGTGGGAATGTGTGAGAAGGTGAGTATCTATCGGAAATAACATTTTCCTAATCTGAATATATAACTTTTAAAAAGATACCTCACATGGAGTGTGACATTAGATGGTAGGGCTCTATAGGGGGACCACCAAGAGATGAGAGTAAAAAACCTGTGGAAGTGGCATACATCCTCTCAATGGTATATTTGGTCGAATAACCTGAAACCAAATCCATGAGACACTGAAGGTAAATAGGGTAGGATGGAAGGGAAAAGGAAACCCGAATAGGAGAGGTGGAGAGAGACTGTGGGTGAAAACAAAGAAACCCACCTGTTGGTAGAGAACCGAGACCAACAGCAGGAAAAGTAAAATAGATGGACATCCATAGGGCCCAACCCAACAGGATGGTCACCAAATAGTGATGAATCAAATGTTGCATAGCAGGAAGATGGGAAGAAGAAGACCTGATAGCTGGAATGGGAATGGTAGGAGTAAACTGATCCAGCAAAGGAACAGCAGTTGAAGGGCAAGGGTGAAAAAGACAAAACCAAGGAAGAGAACAAGGAATGATGACTAACTACCTCAGCCCAGGTCTCAAATGAATTCTGAAAACCACCAAAGATTTCTGGGCAAAGAAAGGGAACCCAATGAAGATCATAGAGATATAAAGATGGGCAGGAGCAAATTAGTGAGGAGTGCATCCCAACTCAACAAGTCCCAACAGTAGAGAAATCAAGTAAGGAGGGCCAGAGTAAAAAAAGTGATACAGGCTAAGATGGTAAAGAAATGGGAACAAACCTCTCTGAAAATCCCCACTGGAGAATGATGAAGTGGCTCAGATAAAAAGTGAGGAATTAGAAGGAACATAGGAGGGTGGTAAGAAAAAGATGAAGATATGAAAACATGGAACTAAAGAATGAAACAAAGGACAATGGTTCTGCTCTCCAAGCAGGCAAAAGAGACTAAAGAAAGAGAAGAATGGCTAGAAATCAGGACAAGAGAGTTAAGAATGCAAGGAGGACACTCATGTGGGTACAAGTGTGGAATTGTTGAAGAAAGAAACCAGTATGAACCCTAACACTAGGTGAAGGAAGAAAAACAAAATAATCCCTATAATGGGTTTCATGGAATAAAGAACACGAAGTACTGGAAAAATCATACCCAGAAAGAGATTGGAAGGTTGAAAATCTTTCCCTGACTGGTAAGGCAGTACCCAAAACGAACCCAGGTGGGGGCAGTCAATTAACTTCATTGTTCTCTTTGACACTCACAAGCTAAGGAGAAAGAATGTTGGTCAAAATGATGGAGGGAGGAGGAGGCCCAGTGTGCATGAGGAAACCCACAATATGATGTACAATGGCTGTAAAATCCTCAACATAAAACAAACGTTATTTTTGTTGATGACCACAAATCTTAGTAAATTGAACATAGACTGAAATAAAAAATTAATACATCTGTTCAGAGTAATGCCAAAGAAAAGAATGAAGTTATTTCAAGTGCAGGTGCTTAACAGGATAACATTACAGTGCATGGAGGTTGTGTCACCCTCCTATAGGTGGAGGGCTACTGTTGCATGAGATTTCATCATGCACCAGTGCAATTCACACTAAAGACGTTTATTTTAGGTAGGAGTTAAATCAAGTTTAGTGGCATGCAAATCTCATAGACAGAACTGCAAAGGTTATAACTATTCTGTGTGAAGAGGTGAGGAATAATCTTCAAAGTTACCAATTAAAACAATAACATGAATAAGATTTACAGTCTTGTTCCTTTTGTCTCCATTTTCTCACAATAATCTTGAATGTAGTGTTTATTTTATGTATCTGTTTTTGCCTAGTTTTATGTCTGTTTTTGTTTTATTGACAGACCTGTTTAGATTCACATGTTAAGTCCACGTGCTATCTCATAGGTACTTATAACTTAGTTTCTTGTTATTAGAAATAAAAACAAGTTTGAAAGGCCAAATAAAATTGACTGAATTTCTAAAACATACCCCCCCCCTTTTTTTTTTAACAGAAAATGAAGCTTTAAAATGCTGTTAGCAACCAAATGAAAGTTCCTATGTGTCTACTTTTGCACCATTAGGAATTGAAAGGTTACAAAATGTCACTTTGTTTTACTACATTCTTACCTTTTATGAACAGTTTGCATCTGTATTTAAACAACTTAATTGCAGTATTTGTAATTTGAATATACTTGTACCTTAAATGTTTATCATGTCTTACCATTAGAAATGAAATATTATACATAAATAAATCTTTTATCCAACAAATACCTGTTTCAAAACTTTACATTAACTGCAGCAGCTTGAAATTCATAAAAAAATTAGTAATAGGCATTTTTTTTAATTCACTAGAATAAATTCTAATTACAGCACATTACTTACCATTCTTAATTGATTATAACCTTCTTCCATCGTGGCTAATTTGGTTCTACTAGCAACATGTTCTTCACGTAACCTATGAACTTCTGTGAGACTAGGACCACCAGAGTTAGCTGAATTAAATGTAAACATGTTTGGTAACAGAGGGGAAACAGGAGACATGTTCTGTGAAGCAGAATATTCATACACTCCAGAGCCATGGAAATGACCATAATTTGTGCTTCCATAAGAACTTGCATGGCCATAGAAAGCTGTAGCAGCCTACAATCAATAAAAGAACCCAAGAAATTCATTGAAAAAAAAATGCTCATAAAAAAAATGACACATGTGTCTGTCATTTAACACAAATAGCAAAACTGTCCTATCTCAAATATAAAGTGAACTATCAACCTTTTCCACTTTTGAAATACCTACATAAAAATTTTCCCCACTGTATAAAATAGGGATCATAAAATTCTACAAAAGTTGTAAATATGATAAAGTAATGGAGTGTTCAAATGCATATGATGAACTGGCTTTATGTTCTAGAAGTCTACAAGCAGATTTCCTTGCTGTACATTAAACTTAGTCAACTTAACTGTTCAAAAAGTTCAAAATCATATCTTTCTAGAAGAAACTAACTAAAAAATGTACAGTAATAAAGGCAAATACATTTTGTTTAAAAGCTATGAAACTTCAGTTATAAAAAAAAGCTTTCAATTTTATATACTAACACATTTAAAAACAATATTTTTTATAATTTCTTTGAGAATCTTGAAATTCTAGGAAAAAAAAGAAAAAGTTGACTAATGATCTGTAGAATTATAAAGGCAACTACAAGACATAACCAAAAGTGATTTGAGACACACACATCTAGTTATTCCAATATGCTTGAAATATGACAAGAGAGCTTCCATTGCTAATAAGTATACCTGAAATTAGATTATAATCTTTATAATCTAAGATAAATAGGTCAAATCAGATGAAAATTATCAAAACACTCTTAAGAACTTCTAAATATGTAAGGAGTTTCATACAGTATTACCTGTAGTTTGAAGATAAATTTTATTGAACAACAAAACAATATCAAAACCCCAGAGAAGTTCTGTCAGCTAAAATGTTTTATTGTCCAAGATAATCCCAAAGGATGCACTAAAGGTAGAAGGGAGTTCCTTTATGATGCTACCAGTGACTTTCTGGCTATATATGTTATCCTAATGGCTCCCCATGTTCTGCTTTTTCTAGCTATGCCACAGAATACTTTTTTGTTTTATGGCAGTCTCATTCCTTATGAATGTTGATTAAGACCTTCTATGGTTGTCGATTTTGCCTTACTAGTGCAAAGAAGGTCAATATCCTGCCAGATTTTATGCAGGGGTTTCTCTTATAAACTTGTCATCTTACTCACTTAGCTTTACCCCTACATGGTCTAGCACGTACATCCAAGTGATTTTGGTTTCTGAAATCCATCTGGAGACCAACTACACTAAATTTTATGCACTACTGCCTACTATGAATTACTCAAAAATACTATGTGTAGGTGGCACTATTTATGGTATGTTGCTTTCAGCAATTCAAAGGAAAGCTTACTTTATGGCTTCCAGCACCATCCTTGTCTAGACACTTTCTGTTTAGGATGAATTCCATAGATCCCAGTGACACCAGATGTTCATTCTACATGGTGGCATCTAAGATCTGGTGGTGAAAAATTATCTGTGTAGTGGTTATATAGTCCCAGTCTTCTGAGGCACCTTTTAGGCAATCCCCTGCTTGATTGATGTCTGTGGGGTTTGTTGTGGAGCTTAAATGTCCCAATTGAAAATGGCATTAACTCAATGGAATACATGGTTTTTACACTGCAAGGCCTTAATGAAAAATTTTGCTTTAAGTCTTGTTGGTGCTCTGCAATGCTGCTGAGGCTTGTGAAGTGGAATAAGGCCTTGATAGGAGTGGCTGAAGTACACTGCATAACCAGTCCTAAACAGATATTGTGCAGCCTTTCAATGTTATCTAACTGTATGTTACTCAAACTGTTCATTCAATGTGCACAATCTATAACGCAGTAGATAAGACTTTGGTATAGCATAATCAGGTGATGTTCAGCTCTAATACTCAGTGAACTGATGATTTTGATAGCTCTGGTTATTAGGGTATTAATGTAGTTGGTGTAGTCAAAGGTTACCCCTAAGCACTTCAGTATTGCTTCCACAGTTTAAGACAAATAGAGAAAAAAAAAGAAATCACTACAATTTGCCAAATTAAAAATGTAAAAGGATAATGCTGTCTGTTGATACAATATTCCATTCACTTAGTATACAGAATATAAAGAGAGAAACACTATCTTAAAATCTATATAAATATAATAGTACTGTCTGTTGTATGTCCATGTAACTACTTCACAGGGCGTGGATGGATCTTCATCAAAATTGGTGTGGAGGTTCATTAGGCCCATGTTTTCAGTTTTGCATTTTGTGGTTTTTATGGGAATTTTTTATCACTACTTTGCCCCCTGGAGATGGATATTCAACAAACTTTTAAGTTTTAGAGTTTGGATGGGCATTTTTTACCACT